AGGGTCTAGACCCGAAACGTCAGCTTTCCTGCTCCTCTGATGCTGCTTGGCCTGCTGTGTTCATCCAGCTCTACACCTTGTTATATCATTAACTGTCCTCGTATGTGAATGGGAAACTGTGGGGATAAGTCAAGGTGAGAAGGATGTTTGCAGCTGATTCTCTCACTTTAAAATGAATGGGTTAAAAACTAGATTAAAGGCATAGCTGGAGGAATAGCTGAATCTTGTAACTCCGGCCCAGTGATCTGAACAGGAATAAACGCGTCATTTTGTGAAGGGATTGACTGTTAGGCACAAGGTCCATCCTTAACATTTCCTGGACAGACCAGTGGGTTCGATGGAATGATTTTAAAATACTCCACCTTCCTGTCCCTGTTGCTTCCTCTAACCCCGCCATCCTCTGAAATCTGTGTCCCCCGCCCCGCAATTTCAGCATTCCAGAGTTTCCTGGGTCAGGTATTCCCAGCGCTGCCTGCATTCAGCTTCCCAGATCCTAGCTCTGAGAATTCTTGGCCCGAACTCCCCTAAGCCTCTGTATTTCTTGCCCCCTTCAGAGTGCAAGAGATACTAACTTTCCTTGTTGGATTTTCATAATGTTCCCTTTAAAAACAGTAAAACACAAAATACAGAAGGCAAAACATTTTGTGCCAGAAGTAAATCTTCACACCGCCTTAAAAACAAAGTAATTTCTGAATTTCTATAACTGGCGGTAGTTAAGTGAAGACATTATTGCTGTAAATGTCGAACACAACTCATCCACAATGAGGGGAATTACCTCCCCACACCATACCTATCCTTTCGGACTGGTAATGTAATCCTGGCCATTTCTGTTCCCTCCGAGTGACTGATAGACAATTCATAAATCCCGCAGGAGCAATGAGGCATTCTCTGGGAAAAAAATCAGCGCGATGTTTGTAGTCACTGGGAACTGGCAGGTAGTGATAGCGCTCAGAGCGCCTGTTGTCTCTGTTCGATGTGCACCTATAGTCCACCATTCTGGTCCCAGCTCTGTTCCATCTGATCCGCAAGTAACCGCCTGGGTCTGAGAGATTGTAAGAGACGGCTAGCAGCACAGACTGACCAACAGTTCCATTCACACGGTCCTGGTTCACCCTCAGTGTTACAGCAGCTAAAGGCGGAGAGAATTACTGTTTATGACAGCAAAGTAACTGGATAATGTTCTAAACGTTGCTTAAACCAGAATCGATAAAATTGAATTAATTTAGAAGGTCCTTAAAGCGCAGTGGTAACGAGCCTGCCTCGAAGCCAGAAGGCCCGACTTCATGACTCAAATGCTCCAAGAGTGTTTAATAGCGTCTCTGACCAAGTTAATGTGAAAATATCTATAACTGACACTCACTGTGCCTGACATATTTCAACAGCACACTGTTACAGTCCCAGATCCAACAGACACAATACTAGCACGGTCTTCTTAACAGCTCACTGTTAACTGGGGTATACCATCAGGAGAAGTCAATGACATTTCCATGGTCTAGTGAATAAACATAATATTGAGAGCCTTTTCATCACACTGGGACAAACTGTGGTGAGACAAAAGAAGTTCTGGTTGAGGGTCATTGATCTACAATACCATATCTGCTTCTGTCTGCAAATACTGACTGATCCGTTCGGTATTTCCAGCAGGTTTTATCTTAAAAACGATGGGATATTTGAAAAATGCAGAAAAGGGTGAAATATGCATATAATGTAAATGTTATGTACATGGAATCACCAGCAGTCTTGACTGTGGAAATGATTCTAAAGACTTTTGATTTGACAAATTTTGATTGTTTTTACTATCACACAGGCTGGAGGTTATTCAGCCCAGTGTGCCTCCTTAAAGAAATATCAGAATGATCTTATGAACTGATCTGTCATTTTCCTCCTCACAAACTCAATAATTGTCAAAATTCAAATAAACACAATTCTTGCTTGGCATGAGAACTAGGAGCAGGAATAGGCAATTCAGCCCCTCAAGCCTGCTGTACCATTTGATACAATCATGGCTGATCTCATCTCGGCTTCTATTCCACTTTACTGCCCGCTCTCCACGACCTTTCAACACACTTGCAAATTAAATGTCTGCCTAACTCCTCCTAAATTTATTCCATATCCCAACATTTACCACACTCTGGGGTGGTGAATTCCACAGATTTGTGATACTTTGAGAGAAGTAATTCCTCTTCACCTCTGTTTTAAATCTGCTAATCCTCAGTCTAAAACTATGACCTCTCACTCTAGAGAAGCCTTTGCAACAACTACTACTGATGGACTTTCTTAAACATTAGTTTAACTGAACATATAGTGTTTGATGTATTATCCCATACGCTTCTTCCAACTCTTTCACAATCCAAATTAATGTTAAAATACAGATTTAATTTATTAATTGAAGTAACACTTACCAAGCAGAGCAAAGGTATTGAAAGTGAGAAAATAGATTTCACAAGTTCTTGGAATTCCATTTCTGTTTGGCGACATTTTGTTCCAGATTCTGAGTAGTTGTTTACAGTTGACATTTATTGGAAGAATTGTTTAGCCACTGTCAATGTAGAAACATCAGCAGGTAATCCCATTCAAACACTTATATCAGGAGAGTTGATGAGATTCAGTAGCAACAAGTCAGAATGCAGCCTGTAACTTAAAAGTCAACTTCACTTTGACCTGTGGTCAACCTCAAAACTAAATAGGCAGCATTTCCTGATTGCACAAATTCACCTTAAAAATAGTGTCATATTTGGCCATCGAGTTTTAAACTGTAGCCTTGGTATTAGATGGCAGAATTGTAATTCAAGTCTCTCAACCTCCTGCCTTAACTTTTGCTGAAACATAAGAACATTTCAACATACGACAGGATTCAACACCCCTGGCCTCAACATCCCAAACCTCTCTCAATATTCAATTAGATCTTGGCTGTATCTCAGGCTGGTAAATAGACTTTGTTTCAGATCTCTCAACAAGTTTTTATTCAGTTAAGGATATTATGCACCAAGGGGAGTGGCATTGGGATCATTGTTGATTTGGGTTCAGAATTCTAAAATATAATATCCAATTGTGCAGATGACTTCAAATTATGAGTAGAGTTCGTACAGAGGAAAGATTGTGGTCATTCACAAGTCATCAGGAAATTTGCAGAGTGGGCTGGAAAATGGTGAATTAATTTCAATATAGATAGATGTCATGGAAGTGTGACAATGCTGTCACTTTAAAAAGGTTATATTTGTCCTGGATTTTTTTTTTTGAAGAGACATTGCAAAGGCAGAGGTTATGAACTGGCTACTGGAGACTACCTAAATCAACAATTTAGGAGGCCTTTAGATTTTTTTTAAACCTAAGTTGTAACAATGGAAGGGGAGTGGCCAGTTCTCACAGACCAGGTTTTCTTGTATTTTTAGCTGTAGTAGTCAGAAGCTGTTTGGGGTCCCAGCAGGGTTGGAAGCTTCAGTAAATGATTCCTAGCTGCTACTTTCTCTGAAATCTTTCTTGATGTTGTTTCCTCCTGGATTGGAGAACTGCATGTAAGAATCTGTGTCTGAATTTACCTTTCTGCTGAGAGGTGCATTTATGGGATGTTACTATATTGGAACAGTCAATTCGTATAGGTACTGTATCTATTATTTGGTAAAGTTTTCCAGTAGTTAAGTTATTCTAAATTTCTCTTTCTTTTGTTTCCATTTCAACTATAGTGTTTATATAAATTGCGGTTTGCTTAACGTCGAGTAGTTTGACCAGTTGGATCACATCTGGAACATGCACCTCACATCTACCTTTAAAATAAGGAAAACTTAGGGTCTACGCTCCCTTCTTAAAATATTTTGAGAGGGTCTGGTCTGGTCCATAACAGAGAAATAAAGACGTCACATTATCTTTGAAAATAAAGATATAAATGAGATAGAGGAGCAATCAGATCTCAAGGTACAGTTCGCTAAAAGTAGCAATTCAGTTTCACAAAGGCATAAAATGGCTAATTGAAACAGAAGCAGCCAAAGTGAAACAAGCAATGTTAAATTTTTGTGGAATTATGACTATCCGATGTTTAGAGTACTGTGCACAGTTCTGATCACCATGTTCTAAAAATAATATAGAAGAAAGAAAATTCCAAAGGAAACTAGAATCAAGACGTCAAGGCATAGGCTACGTCTCTGTAAGTCAATAAGTCCAGAAGGAATTCTAGAAAAAAAACATTTTTATATAGACCGTGATGAGAATGTGAAACTTACCACCACAGGGAGTGGTTATTATGGATAGCATAAATATATGCAACGTAACAATTCTGTGATTGCAAAGCAAGAGTGGGATCAACAATTCAATTGGCCCCAACCCATTCTTAGGTCTCCAAGTGGCAAAGTTTATTTCTCATACGGGTCAAATTGCTACTGTATAAACGATTTTTATGTGATTAATAATATTTCAGTCCTCAATAATTTCTCCCAATATATTATGCTAGCTTCTAGAATTTTGCCAGCACTCTTTATCTTATTTCGTTGTTATAGGTTTTCCTCAACAACACTAAATTTTCCAATTTTATTTTCCCAATTTGACTTTTCAAATGACATGGTATTAAAGAAAGAAAAACAGTGTGTTGATTTAGCTACGTTGACTTTCCCCAAATGTCCCAAAGAGATTTACAGCCAGTGTAGTATTTTTGAAGTGTAGGTATTCATAATAATGGACAATTTACAAGATTCTATGGGTAGCAATAAGATATTAATGATCTTATTGGTTTGTGATGTGAGATGAAAGACAGAAGCAATTGTTATTTTGTAAGGGATCCTCTTGGGGTTTTTTTGATTTTAGGGAGCCTGTTTTTTGTTTTCAGGGGCACCTCTTTCATTCTCACTGCCTCATTTATTTGTTGATATAGTCAGGTTGTAATAATACCTTCTGTATTTGTGTTCATAAATGGAGTATTTGGATTCTCATAGAAGTAGAATGAGAATAATTCATCAATATCCTCAACCTTCTGTTAAAGATAAAACCACAACATGCAAGGAAAGCATTAATTTCTTAGACACCACACTATTTAATTGGTATAAGACTATAGGGCATAAGTTAGTTAGAAAAGCTATTCTTTTTAAATGATTTGTGGACTTTTACACATGTCGCTTTATAGGTACACTTTCCACAGACTGATGAGGTCATAGCTTATGTGTTTTCATCACATTGGAGTACACGGTTATATAATGGTATTATCAGCGGATGAGCAGTCCAGAGACCAGGCACATGTTCCGGGGACATTCAAATCCATGGCATGTGTTGAAATTCGAATTGAAATACCAAATCTGGAATGAAGAAAGCAAGTTTAATGGTGACCATAAAATCGTATTTGATCCACTATTGTGAATATAATGTGAAATCTGGCAAATTTTGACTCCATTTTTAATCCTGACCAATAAAAATGTTTTAACAGCTTTGAATGTGTTTTCCTAATACCTAAGCGACCTGCCTTTGGACTTTTGCAAACCACTCTCAAAATTTCAATATAATCAACAAATGAAACTATTCCTGCCTAATGAACCATTGCCCATTCCTCATCAGTTTGTATTTGAGGTGGTCTCCATTTTCTCATTAACGCTTTGTCTTTCAGGTAATAGCACCCAGGTATTATTTCTGATTCAATCTATAAGTAGGCTATTTGGTAGAATTATTTCAATTCTGAATATGTTTATAGATATTAAAGAAAATGGACTAAACATATCCATCTCAGTCTCTTTGCCTTTTCAGCTCAATTCTTGAACATTGTATCCAATAACTGAATTTCAAAATCATCTTCCTTTTTCATGGATAGCATTTCTTCCTCCCTAATTCTATGCATGCAATATCTAGTCACAATACAGTCAGGAAACAATCCAGAATGTGCCTTTTGTAGCATTTTAGTTTCCTCACTGGTTATTCCACTGCTCTTGGGGGATCCAATATTCTTGAATCCACCAGGTCAATTCCCAAAATAAAGTTAATTCCTTCTATAGTAATTCATTTCACCACACCCATAGCATCTTCTCCATTCACCAAGTCACTCTTTAACCTACCTGTGCAAAATGAAACTGGTTTGTAAACTCCATGTATACCTCCAAATAATATTTTATGATTTAAAAACTCCTCTGGAAGACAGATAGCATCATCAGCCAGGATCAGTGACTGATTTGTTTCCGTGTCTCTCAATATTTTTATTCGTTTACCTCCTTGATTTGAAAAATATGAAAATATCTCACTTTTTGAGATCAAATACCCAGAACCTGCAGTGGTCTGATTCTTCTAAATATTCAAAAAAGGATTTTCATGACAATACAGAGCCATTTCTCCCTTTGTAGCACATTTTAACGAAACCTGTTTTCGTTGTGCAACTGCTACATTTTTACTACTTACTTGCTTTCCTAATGCCCCCTTTTTCTGAAGATTCCATAAACATTCCTACATCTGCAATTGGTGTCATATTTAGCCTACAGTGTATGTCCAATCTTATTACAATTAGAACATGATCGTCTCTTTATAACACTTCTCTCTTCCAGGTCATAATATGGGATAAGATAAATTTACACTTAGAGAAAAATAAGTAAATACTAGACAGTCAACACAGCTTTGTCAAGGGCAAGTCATGTCTGATGAGGTGACACAGGCAGTGGATGAGGCTAGTGCTGTGGAAAGTACTTTAAATGGTGCTACATAGAAATGTTTGGGATTAATGGGTCCTTGGCAGTATGGATTCGATATTGGCCAAAAGATAGGAAACAGGTGGTAGGTATCAAGCGGCATTTCTCAGACAGGAGAACAGCTGAAAGTGATGTTCCTCAGAGATCGATGTTGGGACCCTTGCTTTTCCTGATTTGTATAAATGATTTGGAGATGGGTATTGAGGGCAAAGACTCAAACTTTGCAGATGATACTAAGTTAGGGAGTGTAATGAATTGTGGAGATGATGCTGAGTGACTTCAGAGAGACATTGACAAGTTGACCAAATGGGCAGACACCTGGCATATGAATTTAAATACAAGGAAATGTGACATAATGCATTTTGGTAGAAAAATACCTTGGAGTACAAGTACATAATTCTCTGACGGTAGGCAGGCAAGTTGGAACAGTTGTTAAGAAGGATCATAGGATCCTTGGATTTATAAATTGGGGCATGGAGTATAAAAGCAAAGAAGTGATGCTACATCTCTAGAATTGGTGAGACTGCATTTGGAATATTGTGGTCAGTTTTGGGTGCCATATTTAAGGAAGGATGCTAAAGCCTTGGAGAAAGCACAAAGGAGATTCACTAGAAAGATACAAGGAATGAGGGATTTTAGATACAAGGAAGGATTCGAGAATTTGAACTGTTTCTCCTTGGATCAGAAGATTAAAGGTGATCTTACTGAAATATTCAACATTGTGACAATATTGACAGGAACAAGAAGGATATTCTGTTTCCACTATTTAGTACTAACTAGGGGTCATAATTTCACGGTTGTCAGCACAAGAGCTAGGAGTGAGATGAGCAGAAGCTTCATCACTCAGAGAGTTGTTAGAATTTGGAATGCACTGTCTGGAAGAGCGGTGGAGGCAGGTTCCATAGGAGGTTGCAAAAGAAACCTGGATATATATTTGAAAGTGATTAACTACGGAGATAGGGCTGGAGAATGGGACTAGCTGAGACCTGATACAGACATAATGGGCCAAATGGTCTCCTACTCTACTGTAAAATTCTATGATTCAATCATTTTCTATTGCGTGGGTAATCTAAACCACTGATCCCTCAGTAGTTCTTTCTCCCTTGCAAATTCCACAAATACCTGAATACATTTCTTTCTTGTAATCCTAAATTTTAATTGATAATGCACCCTCATGAGCTTTGAGTATTGCCTCTTTGACAGTGTCATTCACTGTAGATTATTATTTGGATAAACTGATGTATCTGTGAAAATGTTCTGTGACATTAAGGTCTGTTCCTCTTGTGGCCAGTTCATCTGTCTAGCTACTTTCTCAATTGAGGTAAAATATTTTTCAAATTCATCCTCATTAAATTTAGGCATGCAGCATAGATTCTTAGTTAAATCAAATCCCTCATTGCAATCAAAATCATCCTCAAAGCTAGTACCTCCGTTTTTCTTCATTCTAAGCTTTCCTTCAGCGAACACACATTCTCTAAGTTCTCTACCTCTTTGGATTTCAAGTTTTTTTTTTAAATCTATCATTTTCTCTGTTATCCTTGTTTCTTTAAACTCATGTCTTTTCATTTCGAACTGCATCTTCGCTTATACCAGCTGTGACATCCCAATTTTAGTTTACCTTTCTTCCAGTTCTAAATAGAAACAGAAAATAGGAGCAGGAATAGGCCTGTTGAGCCTGCTTTGCCATTCACTATGATCGTGGCTGATCAATCTCTCCAAACCAATTGATCCCTTTACCCCAAAGAAATGTATCTAACTTCTTCTTTGAAAGGATTTAATGTTTTCACCTCAACCATTTTCTGATGTAGAGAATTCCACAGGCTCACCACTCCCTTCAGTGAAGAGATTTTTCCTCATCTCAGTCTTGTATGGCTTATCCTGAATCCATAGACTGTGACCCCTGGTTCTGGACCCTGTATAGTCCTAATGGAATTTTATAGATTTCTATAAGAAATCAGGTGGCATGGTGGCTCAGTGGTTAGCACTCCTGCCTCACAGTGCCAGGTACCTGGGTTCGATTCCATCCTCAGGTGATTGTCTGTGTGGAGTTTGCACATTCTCCCCGTGTCTGTGTGGGTTTCCTCCGGGTGCTCCGGTTTCCTCCCACAGTCCAAAGATGTGCAGGCTAGGTGGGTGGGCTATGCTAAATTGCCTGGAGTGTTCAGGGGCATATAGATTAGGGGGATGGGGCTGGGTGGGATGCTCTGAGGGTCAGTGTGGACTTGTTGGGCCAAAGGGCCTGTTTCCATTCTATGAAGATCACCCCTCATTCTTCTGAACTGCAGCAAAAATAGTCCTAACCAATCCTGCCATCCCAGGAATCAGCCTGGTTGGATAATATGTTTGAATAAATGCTGGATAATCACTCGAAGCATCTCACCCTTATTAGCTCCTCCGTTCAAGTTATCCGCTCACTCTCTGTTTAACTTTTATCAAAGATTTTGAACAATTCCTAGTTATGTTTTCCACTTCCAGAAAATACTTAGTAATATTCAGAACTATCTTCAAATTGTTTGAAGAAACATCACCACAACTGTTACTTTAACTGAAAGACCACGATCCTCAAATCCATTGAACTCAAAAATCTTACAAATAGCCCCAAATTGTTATGATACCAAAAGTCAGGTCACAAATAGAAATTTGGATTAATTATTATATTTTGTGTTTGTTTGGTTTTTAACAAAGAGGTCCAATTTTGCTGCAAAATAGGATTTAACAATAAAGCAAAAGTGCATTATGCAAGATAAAGATGAAATAGAGTATTCCCGAGTATTTACATAAAACATAAATTCAAAGATCCCAAGCTACTTTCTTACTTATTTTAGACTGTGTTCTAGCTGGCATAGAGCCATAGAAATGTACAGCATGGAAACAGACCCTTCGGTCCGACTTGTCCATGCCGACCAGATAGCCTAGATAAATCTAGTCCCATTGTTTAATAATTTCAGACTTGATTTCACACCAATTTTAGGCTATCCCTAGTATTAGATCCCCAACAATAGAAATAGTCTTCTTCCATCTATCACTTGCAATTTTTTGAAAACTTTGATCTAATTACCCCTAACCTAAATTCCATGGGATACAACACTAATTTATTTAATCGATTTTGATAACTTAGCCTTTGGAGACCTAAGAAAGTGCTAGTAAACCTAGACAACAAGGTGCAGGGCTGGATGAACACAGCAGGCCAAGCAGCATCATAGGAGCAGAGAGGCTGACGTTTCGGGCCTAGACCCCACAGCCGACGCCGACGTCGCTCCGCCCACTGCCTCCACAGCCAGCAGCTCCAGAGGAGACAGCAGCACCCAGCCCTGCCGAGTCTTCACCATCCCCCCAGACCTCCCCCTTACGGAGGACGAACGGTCAGTCCTCAGTAAAGGGCTCACCTTTGTCCCCCTCCACCCACAGATCAACGAATACTGCTCACGCTTGGACATAGAGCAGTTTTTCCGCCGCCTCCGCCTCCACGCTTACTTCTTCAACCGTGAACCGAACCCTCCCTCTACTGACCCATTCTCCCGCCTCCAACACACCCCCTCCTCCTGGACTCCACCCCAAGGCCTCCTACCCTCCCTCGACCTCTTCATCTCCAACTGAAAGGCTTTTCTGATGAAGGGTCTAGGCCCGAAACG